GCACAGCGCCCCCTGCTGAGCCTCACGCCCACTCCCCGCAGCACAGCGCCCCCTGCCCAGCTCCCCGCCCGCTCCCCGCAGCGCGGCGCCCTCTAGAGCCCCACCTTCCACCTCCAACACGTGCTCCACAGCCCCGTTCGCGGCCACTCCCTGTTGCTGCCTCGTTTCTTGCCTCCTTCTCTCCTCCTCCTCCTCCGTGTCCAGGTCCACGCGCTCCTCTTTGCTGTGACGCAGGCTGAACACCAGCCGGTGTAGCTGGGGAGGGGGGTCGCACGGTGAGCACTCTGCACTGGGACGCCTGGGTCCCATTCCCCGTCCTGCTCCCTCCCCCTAGGGGTGAGTGCCCTGTACTGCTGTTCCGGACACCTGGGTCCCTTTTCCCCTCTTTGTCTCTCCCCCTAGGGGCAAGCACCCTGCGCTCCTGTCCTGGACACTTCCCCACCCTGGTCTCTCCCTCCTAAGGGTGAGAGTCCTGTACAGCTGTCCCGGATGCCTGGGTCCCATCCCCTTTCCCGCCTCCCAAGGGTTGCTCACGTGCTTGTCGGAGATGGGCGGGGTGCAAAGCGATACCCCCACCACCAGGACGACGCTGGCAAGGAAGAGGATGATGGCGAAGTACAGGTAGTGCACCCCGCAGATGAAGCGGGGGCAGGCGCTGGGGAAGATGCAGCTGCCAGTGCCATAGGCGAATTCAGGCAGCAGACGGGCCAGACCCATCAGCAGCCCCCCGACCAGCCCCCAGAACGCGCCCTGTGTGGAGAAAGGGGGGGTCATCTGGGCTTCCGGGTCCTCGCTCCCTCATCCTCCCACTGCCGGGATGCCTGGGTTCCCCACTCCCTCCACCCTCCCCTCTTCTCCCGCGACCCAGATGCCTGGGTCCCCCCACTCTCTCCACCATCCTCCCTGTGCCTGGCACTTGGATCCCCCACACGCTCCCCTCCTCCCCCATCCTCCCACTGCCCAGACACTGGGTCCCCATTCCCCACACTCCTCCCCTCCCTTCCCGCTGCCTGGATGCCTGGGTCCCTCCCTCCCCAGCTCCATCTGCCGCCTACTGTGGACATCAGCAGACCAAGTGTCAGCTCATGCCAAGGTCTCTAAGCCTCAACGGGACACTGACACACACAGAGCTGGGACCCAGCCTAGCTCACCTGGGTGTTAACATTGTTAAATTAGGTCTGAGGGGTTAGCGTTTAGACTCTCTGAAGCGTTTGTACGTTGCTGCAGGCGATGGTCTCACCTATCGCCTCTGTACCCCGGTCATACTGCGGGGTTGCTCTGTAATGGTAACTCACCAGCTGGGAAAATAGCGCCACTGGGTGTGAAATGCCGGTTTGCCACAGGAGGTAGCTCCTGCCCTACAAAAGACGGTCCGTGGGGTCTGTCTCCACAGCAGTTCGCTGCCCACGCTGGCCTGCGCCAGCCGACAGGCTGCGGGGCTGTCCCACTGCTGTGTAGACGTCTGGGCTCGGGCTGGAGCCCTGGCTCTGAGACCCTCGGACTTCGCAGGCGCCTACAGCCTGGGCCGCGCCCGGCCATCTACACAGCCGTGAAACAGCCCCTGAGTCGGCTGCGGGTGTCAGCTGCTGTGTAGCCAGACCTAGCGACACCAGACAGACCGATGCAGCGCATCAGAGGGCAAATGATTGCCCTCCCCACCCACCCACCCATGAAGAGGAGATGCCCTTGAGGCCTCGTCCCGCCAGCTTAAACTCTGGGGGAAGGGAATAAAAATCACTGCCAGGAAGAATGTGGCTCGCTCAGTGGTTTGCACATTGGCCTGCTAAACCCAAGGTTGTGAGTTCAATCCTTAAAAGAGCCATTTAGGGATTCAGGGCAAAAATCTATCTGGGGATTGGTTCTGCTTTGAGCAGGGGGTTGGACTAGATGCTCTCATGAGGTCCCTTCTAACCCTGATAGTCTACGATACCAAGCATAGGTAAACAATCCCCTGCCTTAGCTCACAAGGATGTATAGGGCTTGCTTGTGAGCGATGCTTCTGCCACCTTTTGGAGACTCGTTTGTGTGTGTAGCTTTGACCTGCTTTACCCTTGTAACTAACACGCTTGTTTCTTCTTAGTTACTAAATCTTCAGCTGGTTTATTACAGGACTGGCTGCCAGCCTTGTCTTTGCTGTGAGATCTGCCGTGCAACTGACCGGGGGCGAGTGACTGGTCCCTTGGGACGGGGAGTAACCTGAATATCGGGGTGAGTTTGGGTGTCAGTCCGCCTTAAGGTTGGGACTCACACCCTTGAGCCATTCTAGAGAGTGTGACGCCTGCATCCCCACTCCCTCCACCCCTCCCCTTTCTTTCCGTTGCCTGGACACCTGGGTCCCTCACCCCCCCACTTCCTGGAGGCCTGGGTCCCCCGAACCCTCCGACTGCCCAGACACCTGGATCCCCCGATCCCCTGCCCCCTTCTCGCCATCCCCGGACACCTGGGTCCCTTCCCCCTCACCTCGCCCCCCCTCCTCCTCTCTATCCCCGGACACCTGGGTCCTCCAATCCCCTCCCCCTCCTCTCCATCTCCAGATGCCTGGGTCCCCTGGCACTCACGGGCTCGTTGACCCTCTTGACGAACAGGGCGAGGAAGAAGACAGCGGCGATGGGTGGTGCCAGGTAGCTGGCGATGGACTGGATGTAATCGAAGAGCTGCCCGCTCTGCGCCGCCTGCACCACTGGGATCCAGGCAATGCTGATGGCCACCATGCACAAGATCCACACCCTGCCCAGAGACCAGGGTGAGGGGCAGGGGCGTGGCTGGGCCCACAGCGCCCCCTAGTGCCGGCTGGTAGACAGGGCAGGGCTGGGCCCACAGCAAGCTCAGAGGCACAGCACTCCCTGCGGCACAGTGCCCCTAGTGCACCCTCACCTGCCCACGATCAGCAGCTCCTTGCTCCTGGCCCGGGGCCGCAGGCGGTTGTAGATGTCCATGGTGAATAGGGTGCTGCTGCTATTGAAGATGGAGGCCAGGGAGCTCATCAGGGCGGCCAGCATCACGGCCAGCATCAACCCCCGCAAACCTGTAGGGGGCAACAGAGAGTCAGACTGCCCGCTCCCTGCAGCCCGGCGCCCCCTGCCGACGCCCCCCGCCCGCTCCCTGCAGCCCGGCGCCCCCTGCCGAGCCCCCCGCCCGCTCCCTGCAGCTCGGCGCCCCCACTGCAATGCACTAAGGCATTGGGGGCCAGCTCCAGCTGCTGACCGGCAGGCATGAGAGTCACCACCAGCTTGGGGTAGGCGATGTTGGAGCAGCCGACTTCAGTGCCACAGATCCGCTTGCAGTCCTCTGGCACCACGCAGGCCACCTCGTCTGGAGAAAAAATGGGGTAAGCAGGGGGGCCCGGCCTGGAGGCAGGGGGCTAAGACATGGGGCAGCTGGGATCCCGCCAGCAGGGGGCAGCGGTGCCCAGCTGTCCCTGTCTCCTGGTGAGGTGAGGGGCACCGTACCTGGGTAAAGGATGCGGCTGATCATTCCTGGCATCACCATGAGGAACATCGGCAACAGCTTCAGGTACCCACAGAGGATGCAGCCGGCTTTGACATGGGTCAGGCTCTTGCCCGCTAGGCAACGCTGCACAATCACCTGTGAGCAGGGAACGCCCCAGTGAAAGGCCCTGTGCCCTGAGTCAGCCCGTCCCCCACCCCGGGGCTGGAGCGGAGCCGGCACCCCCAGAGGGGAGAGGCCCCGGGCCCCATTCCCCGCCCCCATACCTGGTCGCTGCACCAGTACCAGGTGGAGATGATGGTGAGGCCGAAGATTAGCGCTGGCCAGGGGAGGTCTCCGGTTAGGGGGTCGCGGAGGAGGTGGAAGGCGTCGGGGCGGGGCTGGTAGCAGGTGGCTGAGATGTTGTACAGGGCCGGGGCTGGAGAGAGGGTGTTGCTGGGAAGGGCCTCCAGGTACTTGTCAAAGAGCCCCTGGTAGCCCCCCACCTCGTGAAACGCTGCAAAGCAACCAACAGGGGGCACTGTGACGAAGAGAGACCGTGGCAGCCCGCTCCCCACAGCCGGGAGAACGCGGGACTGGGACCCCCCCTCCAATAGCCAGCACCCCAGCCCCGCTCCTTACAGCACCCCCTGCTGGGGCTGGAGGCACCGGGGGCTTCCTTTCAGCTGCAATTCCTGCCCCTGTCCATGGGGGGAGCAGCGGGTGGGTCTCACTCACCAAAGCCCATGAGGACGAAGGCTCCCCCAATGATGACGAAGGTTTGCACGGTGTCGGTGTACATCAGGGCCGCCAGCCCCCCTGGGAGAGAAAGGAGGAGTGGGGTGAAACGGTGCCCACCTGCGCCCCCCTCCCCGCCCCGGGCCCAGCTGGAGCGGCCCCGGGGCTCCCACCCCAGATGCGGCCCCGTTACCTGTCACGGTGTATATGGTGGTAATTACGAGCAGGGCAATGACAGCGACGTAGATATCCCAGCCCAGAGCCTGCTGGATAAACACAGCCCCCGAGAACATGTCCACCTACCGGGGGCGATACAGGGGGGGGGGTCTCAGCACGGGGCCGGTGTACACAGCACCCCCTGCTGGGAGTAGCCGGGAGCACCACCCACAGCCAGGGCTCTCGCCCCCGGGAAGAAGATTAATTACGTACTGAGATTTTAGTGAAGATGTAGAGAAAGAGGGACAGGATGGACAGATAGATCCGGATTCGCTGGCCCCCAAATCGCTTCTTCAGATACTGGGGCATTGTGATCACCTGCAGGTACAGAGAGAACAGAACGGAACCCAGGAGTCCTTGCTCCCAGCCACCCACTGCTCTAACCCACCAGGCCCCCCTCCCTTCCCAGAGCCGGGGAGAGAACCCAGGAGTCCTGGCTCCCAGCTCTAACCCACCAGACCCCCCTCCTTTCCCAGAGCTGGGGAGAGAATCCAGGAGTCCTGGCTCCCAGCCCCCCTGGTCTAACCCACCAGGCCCCCCTCCCCTTCCCCAGAGCTGGGGAGAGAACCCAGGAGTCCTGGCTCCCAGCCTCCCCGCCTATACCCAGTGTGATGCTCACCCCGGCAGTGAGGTAGACAGGTACGAAGAGCCATCCGAGGAGGAGAACCACGAAGAGAGCCTGGTGGGAAAGCGGAGCGGGGTCAGAGAGGGGGAGATGGGACAGGGAGGGGGAGGGGGTTATGGGCACTCGAAATCACTTACATTCCACTCGAAGCCGGCCACCGCCAGCCCATTGGCAGCACCGGTGCCAGCCAGCCCCACGAAGTGCCCACTGCCGATGTTACTGGCAAAGAGAGACGCACCCACCTGCAGCACAGCACGAGGGAGAGGGACTGGGCATTGGATAGATGCACCAAGCATTGTCCCTAATGCCACCCCCTTCCCCTGGGCACTGCCCCAATGCCACCTCCTGCCCTAGGCTCTGTCCCTAATGCCACCCCCTTCCCCTGGGCACTGCCCCAATGCCACCTCCTGCCCCCGGGCACTGCCCCAACACCACCCCCTGCCCCAGGCTCTGTCCCTAATGTCACCTCCTGCCCCCAGGCACTGTCCTTAACGCCACCCCCTGCCCCCAGTCACTGTCCCTAATGCCACCCCTGCCCCCGGGCACTGCCCCCAATGCCACCCCTGCCCCCAGTCACTGTCCCTAATGCCACCCCCTGCCCCTGGGCACTGCCCCTAACACCACCCCCTGCCACTTAACCTCATCTCCTTGCTATGGTCCCCCTGATGTCAATCCCTTGCCCCCCCATCCTCACCCCAGCTGCTGCTAGGGTCAAGTATTAACCCTCTTCCCTAAACCCAGCTCTGAATCCATTCCTGAGATTGATGGGTTAGCCCCATACACATCTATCTATCTATCTATCTATCTATCTATCTATCTATCTTATCCTGCCCCCATTGCAATACTCACCGGCCACCAGACCATGTTTCTACCAGCCAGGAAGTAACCCCCGATGGTGTTCCGGTTGGTGCGGCACATGGACTACAGGGGCGAGAGCGGGAGGAGGGCATTTTCCAGGGGCTGGATGCTGCGTTTCTCCACCAGCTCCAGAGATACCCAACCAGCTCCGTCTCCCTCCACGGGGTGAGTCCCCCCAGCTCTGGCTGGAGACGCCAGGCTCAGAGAAGGGCGATGGGAAGGAGCAGGGAGCTGGACCAAATCTCCTCTGGAGAGTGACTGGCCTGGGGCTCAGAGATTCTCAGGCCGGCCGGGTCTGACCTCCCATGGATCACAGGCCAGGGAACTGCCCCAAATCATTCCTGGCTGAACAGGGGCAGATCTATTAGCGCAATGTCCCAGCGATGGCGAATCGGCCACAGCCCTGGGTTAGCTGTTCCAATGGTTAATTCCCCTCACTCTTAAAAACATACCCCTTATTTCCAGTCTGAATTTGTCTGCTTCCAGCCACTGGGTCGTGCCAGACCTTCATCCGCTGAAGAGCCCAGTATTAATTATTTGTTCCCTATGGAGGTACGTACAGACTGGGATCAGCCCACCCCTTCACCTGCTCTTGGTTACGCTAAATAGCTTGAGCTCCTGGAGTCAATCACAAGGAGGCAGGAAATGCACTTTCACCCGAGGCGTGATCGGCCTTCGGAACTCCCTGCCACCAGAAATTGTGGGGGCCAAGATTCAAAGAGGGACTGGATATTTCAGTGGCTGAAACTAGCCCGAGTTGATGACACAGCCTCCTGCTGTAGGGCTTCAGGGAGTCCCTGTTAGAGACCCAGTTGAGACATATAGCGCGGGGGCGGAGGGGTGTGTATGTCTCACATTGTCCTTTGCTGGAGACTGGGTTAGATGGGCCTCGGTTGTGAGCCAGCCTGGCATTGAGAGAGGAATCCCACTGCGGTGCACATGTCTTGCCTGAGTAATTCTGGTGTGTCCCACCATTTTGGGTCTTTGCCATGGACTGCGGCAAGCTGAGGTGTCCACGAGGGGAGGATCCAGCACTCGGGGCTGTGAGGGGATGGGGCCGGTGAGTTGGAGGGGCCACAGTGACTTATTAAAGCCATTGGTCCATGGACAGGGGGCTTTGTGTGGCGAGGCGATGCAGGAGGCCCACGCCGTACATTTCTGCTCCCTGACTAATCTGCTAATCTGTTGAAATGTACACCTCATTACAGGCCTCATGAGCATTCCTGGACCATGTACTTCTCAGTAATAATTAACAACCTCTTCCCCCGTCCCTGCCCAATCTGGAGCTGAGATCAAAGAGCTGAGACTAAGAGACGAGCGAAAACACAACTGTACAGCCGGGATGAGGCCCCACCAGTCCTTCCACTGTGAGATGGGACCCTCCTGGGGTGGCGTAGAGGGAGCTATAAGCGGGAGAAGGGACAGAGATGTCATGGCAGTGGTGGGACAGGGACAGCCCCATCCTAGAACTCAGCGGTTTGGGTTCTAGGTACATCAATCATGCCAGTGACTTGGGTTCTAGGCATGTCAATCACATGAGGTAGTTGGTTCTAGGACCCAGCTCCACAAAGGGACTTAGGCATCATGGTGCTCAGCACGGGAACACCTAATGTTTAGGTGCTGAGAAAATCACTGGACCAACACTGGGATCCAGAAAGCCTGAGCTAGGCACCAGGCTCCCTATATAATGAATGGATGCTAGGTGTGCTAGGCGGGGAGCCAGCTGAGCTAGACAATGGGAGATGGGGGGGTTCTAAGTCCCACCCCTCTCATGGAGTTCGCCCCCTCAGTCCAAGCTGCAGAGAGGCGCCTTGCTCTGCCAGTGACCCAGAGCTGGGAACCCCTCTCCTGGGGTCGGGCAGCTTCGGTGCCTGCATTGTTCCTTGTGAGAATGAGTTGAGTGCCTGCCTCGCTCCACACAAAACAGCCACAGGAGGAGGTGCCCAGCTTACAACTTCCAGCCCAGTGCTTAGAGCACTCAGCCTGGGATGTGGAAGCTCCTGGTTCAATTCCCCCCTCTGCGTGAAGAGAAGCCACAGAGCGATAATAGGATGGTTGGACATGGGGGCTCCCTTGGTCTCTCCTGGTACAGCTCCTCCTCCTCGGTCAAGAGTCCCTGGGCCAGAGAGAGAGGAGGCCAGAGCTTGAGAAGGACTCTGTGGGCCAGTGGTTGGGACACCCAGCTGGAAGGTGGGAGACCCCTGGGGCCAGTCCCCCAGCTGCAACCACTCCTTCACTGAGCCACCGCGGACCAGCTCTACCAGGAGGGACTGAGGAGGTCATGCTGGGGCTTAGGTGCAAGACAGGTGCCCAGACGCCCAGAGGCAGGCAGCAGCTCACGTGCCCCGAGGCAGAAACTCGGGCGGGTATGAAACTTGTACTGCAATGACTTAGGTGTTGGGTGGGAGCCGAGCGAGTGTTTTGTGGATCTCAGGGGAGCCTAAAACTAGGACTTGGGCACCTAAGTCCTCTGTGGATGTGGGCCTCAGCCACAAACCCTTCTGAGCCCTGCTGTTCTGGGCTGTATGGGCTTCCCGGGCTGCAGCTCAGGTTCTGGGGTCAGATTTCCGGGGTTGAGCCCTGGGTTTTGGTTCTGGGATCTGCCAGCAACAGGGATACGCTAGGATCGAGATGGAAATTCAAGTTTCAGAGTCTGAGTTCCTGGGTAGTGATGCTTGATTCTGGGATGGATGGATGGATAAGTGTGTGGGGGCGTCTGGAGACTGATGGCTAGAGGGGTGTGTATGGGGATAGGTAGCTGTGTGTCTATAGGGATAGACAGCTGGATATAGGGGTGTGTATGGAGACAGGTAAATGTGTGTGTACGGGGATAAACAGCTGGCTAGAGGGGTGTGTATGGGGCTGGATAGAGGGGTGAGTAGTGGGATGGATGGGTGGACAGAAGGGTGTGTATGGGGATGGATAGAGGGGTGAGTAGTGGGATGGATGGGTGGACAGAGCGGTGTGTAGATGGATAAAGAGAGGGCTGTGTTTGGGACTGAATGGGTAGAAGGTTGGGTATCAGGATGGCTACATAGGTAGGGAGGTGTATGGAGACAGATAAAGGGATAGACAGAGGGGTGTGTATGGGGAATGAAGGATGAGGGATAGAGAGCAGGGTGTATATGGGGATGGGTGGATAGATAGAGGGGTGTATATGGGGATGGATAGATGGCAGGGTGTATATGGGGATGGGTGGGTGGATGGATAGATAGAGGGGTGTATATGGGGATGGGTGGGTGGATGGATAGATAGAGGGGTGTATATGGGGATGGGTGGGTGGATGGATAGATAGAGGGGTGTATATGGGGATGGGTGGGTGGATAGCAGGGTGTATATGGAGATGGGAGGATGGATAGAGGGGTGTATACGGGGATGGGGGAATAGATAGAGGGTTGTATATGGGGATGGGTGGATGGATGGATGGATGGATAGCAGGGTGTATATGGGGATGGGTGGATGAATGGATGGATAGCAGGGTGTATATGTGGCATAGGTGCCAACTCCGTGGGTGCTCCAGGACTGAAGCACCCACGGAAAAAAATTGGTGGGTGCTCTGCACCCACCGGCAGCTCCAGCTTACCTCCGCCTCTGCCTCCTCCGCAAGTGCGCCATCGCGTCCTGCTTCTCCACCCTCCCTCCCAGCGCTTGTGCCGTAAAACAGCTGATTTGTGGGGCAGGGAGGGAGGGGGGAGGAGGGGGGATGCGGCGCTCTGGGGGAAGAGGCAGGGCCATGGCGGGGATTTGGGGAAGGGATCCAATAGGGGCAGGGAGGGGGCGGAGTTAGGACGGGGACTTTGGGGATGGGGTTGGAATGGGGGCGGGGCCAGGGGAGGGGTAAGGGGTGGGGGGCACGAGCACCTACTGGTGCCGGAGAAAGTTGGCGCCTATGATATGTGGATGTCCTTGACTCAAGTTTTGGGTCTAATTTTGGGGTGTTCAGTTCTAGTTCTGGGTCCAGGTTTCTGCCTGGTGGTTCTGGGTCCCAGAAGAGTGGCTCAGGTCTCTACCCTGTGCCATTTCTTCCCCTGTTGCCCAGTGTTGGGGGGGTGGGAGAGAGGTCACATACCCAGAGCCCTACGCAGATGACCAGGATGAAGTAGCCCACGATGACTCCAATGTCAGCAGGGTTGTTGATGACGGCCCTGGGCTGCGGCACCCTCTCCATACTGTTTCTGTCTCTCTCCCTGCAATGAAATGACACCTCGTGGAAGGGTCCCCAGGGGCCAGCATGGATGGTTAATAGCAAACCTGGTCATGGGGCTGGATCTGTGATTAACCAACCCAGAGACTGCGGGGAGGAGGGAAGTAGAATAGACTGAAGGAGTCCTGACTCCTGAACCCCGCTCTCTGCCCCCATCCCTCCTCCTGCTCTTGCCATCTCTGCCCCGCCATTCCCTGGTAGCTGGGTAGAGCTGAGCCCATGTTCTGAGCCATCTGAAGCCCTTCTCCTTCTAGGAGAAGCAGAGTGAGGCTGGGCTGAGCCAGGCTGAAATGTGCACTGCTGGTGAGTGCCACCTACTACCCTGTGCTCCCTATGGGAGGGGGAGGGGGCTTCTGCCATGGGAGGGTTGTTACAGGGGAGGGGGCAAAGGGGGAGTCAGTTGTGGCAAGGAGGGCTGCAGAAGATTGATTTATCTTTCCATCCATCCCCATGCAGACCCACCTACATGTCTATCCATTTCCCCACACCCTCCTCTATGTATGCATCCATGCCCCTCATGAACCCAACTACCCATCCATCCCTTTACAGACCCAACTACACATCCCTTCATCACCCTACACACCCAACTATCCATCCCCCTCTGGATCCAATGACTCATCCCTCTATTGCCCAAGAGACACAATTATCCATCCCTCCATCACCCTACAGACCCAACTACACATCCCTCCATCACCCTACAGACCCAACTACCCATCCCTCCATTCCCCTACATACCCAACTATCCATCCCACTGTGGGACCAACTACCCATCCATGCGTCCCTCCATTGGACCTAGCTATCCCTCCCTCTATTCTCCTGTGGATCCAACAACCCATCCTTTCCTCCCTCACCATATGGACCCATCTACCTAACTATCCTTTCCTCCACCCCCCATGGACCCAATTACTCATCTTTCCAACCTCCTATGGATCAACTACCTAACCCTGAAACCCTCTTTGGACCCAACTACCCATCCTTCCATCCCCCTATGGGCCCAACTACCCATCCCTCCATCACCCTATGGACCCAACTACTCAACAATCCACCCCTCCAACCCTCTACAAATCCAACTACTCACCCACCCATCACTATATCCCTTACCTACTCACCCACAAATTGTTCCATCTCTTCATCTCTGTGATGGGGTGTTCACCCCACCAGAGAAGAAAGGGTTAAAGGAGGCCTCATGGGCCTCCACACCCTGTCCCAGAAAGACGCAATGGAGGTGAGTCCTCCAAACAGCCAATTGGAGGGAGGCTGCACAGAGCAGCCAATCAAGGCCCAGTGGGATCACATAAAAGGAGCTGCAAGGCCAGAGACAGTCAGTTGCTCTGGGGAGCCCAAGGAGTGAGGACTGTTTTCCTAGCAGGTTGCAGGAAAGGTTGGACAGAGCAGTTGCTGGCAGGGACTGGGGGAGCAAGCGGGAGCTGGTGGCTGACTGCTGGGACTTGCTGACTGGATACTCCGAGAAGAGGGCTGGGGCTGCAGGGAAGTGGCCCAGGGAATAGAAGCAGCATAGAGCAAAGTTAAGGGGATGCAGCAGGAGGCTGCTGTCTACAGGGTCCCTGGGTCAGGACCCGGAGTAGTGGGTGGGGCCATTGGGGAAGGGGCTGGACTATTGAACTGAGCTACTTCACCCCTGGAAGGGGGAAAACACGCTGATGACATGGCTGGGGGGCAAGACGAGGACACTGCGGCATAAGTGCTGACTCCAGGGCTGGAGCACCCACAGCGAAAACCCCCCCTATCAGCACCTCTCCCTCCCCCCAGTGCCTCCTGCCCGCCGGCGGGCCCTGCCACTGAGCGCTTCTCCCTCCTCCTCTGCCCTCCCACCTGCCGCCATCAGCTGTTCTGTGGTATGCAGGAGGCTGGAGGGGAGGGGATAGGAGCGAGGACACAGTGATCAGGGGAGGGGGCGGAACGGGGCAGGAAAAGGAGGGGCGGGGGGGTGGTAAGAGGCGGGGCTGTAGCGGGGCAGGGCCTTGAGGGAAGGGGCGGAGTGGCTGGGGGCGGGGTCTGGGGCAGAGCTGGGGGTCGAGCTCCCCCCGGCACAAGGGAAAGTCAGCGCCTCTTCACTGTGGTACTTTGACTGAGGCGGGTCTGCAGTCGGAGACAACATCAGGAGAGGCACCACCTGGAGACGGTGCACTGGTTGGCGGAGCTAATTCCTGTGGTGGCCAGCAGGAGGCGCTGCTGTGGTGAGTGGACTCTGTCATACCCAGCTATCCATCCTCCAGCCCTCTAGGGACCTACATATCCATCCATCCCCCTATGGTTCCAGCCATTTATCTCTGCATCCACACTATCTATCTATCTATCTATCTACATGTGCCTGTCCATCTGAGCTCGAATGATGCCGGAGTTGGCGTGGAAGGCGCTATCACACACTGCTGTGGCATTAGGCAGCTGCAGCTCCCCATCGACATCATCACGCATGTGGATGGGCCCCCCCCCGACCCCCAGGCCTGTCAGCCTGGCTGGCTCTTGCACTGGGGCCAGGGGGAGGCGGCCTGGCTTGGAGCAGCAGATTGATGGCAAACACTTCTCCGTGGAGGTGAGTGGCGGGGGTGTGTGTGTGGAGAGGCTCAGCACTGGCAGAGCAATGCTGGGGGGGCGCTGTGCTGCAGGACGCAGGGGGGCTCAGTAGGGGGCGCTGGGCTGAAGGGAGCGGGGAGGAGGCTCGGCA